CTTCATTTCATTTTTCTCCTCTACGCTGATTACATTGGAGGTGAGATATTCTTTATCAAAGAAACCCTTGGGAAAATAATCACCCAGGGTTGGTAGTCTAGGAAGAACGCGTGGAACTGCTTCTCTCCCGATTGACTTAGTAGGTATTCTTGGCTTGGTTTCAGGCTTTTTTCCTCGATTGTTCTTTGGTCTTGATTTCTTGTCACAAACATTAGAACTTGGGAGTTGTGGAGCCTTTCGAAGACGTCTTTTCACAAGTGTCCATGCCCCCTGATCTTCTTCTAATGTTTCCTTTTTATTGGGTGGAATTTTTGTTCCCAATCCCTCCAACTCTGTTCCTGCAAGAGGTGTAGAATGTAATATTTTACCTATTTTATTTGGCATTCGATATTTCTCTTTCTTCTTTATGAAGGTGGACCAGTCGCCATCGATCTCGTCTTTAGATTCTGAGTTAGAATCCCAAACATCCAAGTCGCCCGTCATAATTTCATAAAAGGTTAGACGATTGGGTGCATTTGGTCCATCCATCCCTGGATAGATGTAACCGATAGTGATTTCTTTGTCTACCTCAAACTTCACTAGGATAGCTCCTTTCGAAAGTTGAGGTCCAAACTTCTTAACTGAGGATTTACAGGTATCGCGTATACCAAAAAAATGTTTGTTTCTTCTCTGCAATGGAAATTGGATCAAATGATCCAAACGAAACCATCGAGCAGACGGCTATTGGATTCTCTCCGATTTCAAGTTTGATCTTATTTTATTTGTCCAAACGAATAATGAGATCTTTCGAGACGAAGCATTTTTCCATGGGTGGCTAATGATTCTGTGAGATTTACAGTATTTAGGATGATCGATCTTACCAGCTTCCTCGGGTCTTTTTGGTACTGGAAGTTCGATTATCTTCTGTTCAATGAGCTGATCTAGAATTTCGAAAACTTCAGAATCTGAGAATGGGTACTCCTTTCCTTCAAGTTCTTTTAGAGTCACATGACCTCTACTTTGGACTTGTTCTCTGTTAGGTCTGAATTTTGGCTTTGGTTTTGGGTTCAAACTTGACCCCTGGAAGGCTATCTTTGCAGGAGCAATAGAAATCACCATAGCTTCTTTGGACTTACTTGCCTTGGCGTCTTTCCTTATCTCTTTCTTAGGACCTTTCTTGTCATGTGGATCACTTGGTAAGTAACTTCCATACCTTGCAATTTGGAGCTCCAAGTCATGAGCACGTGTTGTCAATTCTTCGAATGAGTGAGGCATGTTTGCTTGGAGATTATAGAGTAATCCCCAATGCATGCCTTGTACACACATGTCGATGGAAGATGCTTCGCTTATTCGTTCTTTAAAATTAAGCACGAGGTTCTTCCCGCGTTTAATGTATTCCACAACGGGCTCTTCCTTGCTTTGTTTTGTTCGAGCAAGTTCTGGAAGGCTGACAATTCATTGGGTGCTGCAGAAACGTGTTAGGAACTCTCGCTCAAGCTGATCCCAACCGTCAATTGACCCTGCCGGTAAGTCCGTGTACTATTCAAATTCAGAACCTTTGAGGGAGCATATGAACTGCTTCACCATAGTGTCACTGCAAGTACCCGCATTATTACAAGTCTCAATAAAATGGGCAACATGTTGCTTTGGATTGGCTTTTCCATCAAAACATTGAAATTTTGGAAGTTGATAACCGAATGACATCTTTATTTCGTCGATTCGACGACTATAGGGCTTGTCATACACCAGTGAAGATTGTAATGAACCACCATACTGGGCACGAATGGTGTCTACAACCATATGTTGAAGTTGTTGAACGGACAGAGAGCCAACAGAGAGTTGAGTGGTGTCACGCAACACATTTTGAACAACTGTCCGATCATGCATATCTTGTTTTTGTTGGCGCTCTTGGACTTCTAACTCTTTGGCCTTGGAAGATCCTGAATTTTCCCAATCTTCTTTAGTCGATGGATTTTGCGACTCTAGCCTATATGTGAGTGCAACAATCTGTACATCTTTGTCTTCCAATCACTTTGTTAATTGTTTAATGGCTAAAGCCATTTGTTGAATTCGGTCATTTGATCCTGATGCTGCTTTTGTGACCATCACTGACTTAAGTGATCCTTCAGATGAGACACCATCTTCCCACTTTTGCTGAGAAGTGGCATGAAGGGATCCAAACAAGGATCTACCACTGCAAATGGAGCCTGAACGAGA